TTACAACTGGAAAGATGAAGTGGAATTAATCACATGGTGTAGCACTTGAATTTGGACGAAGAGGTAGTGTGTTAACCAAAGGGGGGGATGAATAGAGAAGGGGGGTCTGTACTCGCCAGCCTTTAGCCAGCCCTGCCCAGGGCTATGCAGCATGGACAGCATCTGTGCATGTGGAATGACACCTCTCTCTCTCTCTCTCTCTCTCTCTCTCTCTCTGTGTGAGACTTAAAGGTGTGAAAGAAGTCTTGTTTACATTTCAACCAATTACCCTAAAATTTAACTGGAAAGAATACCCCATTTTTCTGAAGAGGCCAAATAATTGAGTTATTCCCTTTAGTGTTTGTTTGTGACTCACAAGAAGCAATTCTTGCTTTTCCAAGTGGTAATCAGGTCTCAATGATCACTTCTAGCATGTCCCTGGGTCTTGTGTGCTTTGCTGAGCATGAAGTCCCATTGAGGAATGTGTTTTAAGATCCCTAGGCTATAAAGTACCCAGGAACAGAAGAATGGGCAAAGAAAATGTAGAGGATATACACAAGATAATATTATTCAGCTAGGAAGAAGAATGGAATGATATCATTTTTAAGAAAATGGATGGAACTGGAAATCATCTTGTTAAACAAAGTAAGCCAGACACAGAAAGACAGATACAGCATATTTTCTCTCTTATGTGGAAATAAACAAAAAGATGACCAAAAGTAAAAGACGGACTGTCAAAGATGGAGAAAAGGACTAGAGGGAAAGGGGAAAGACAGGTACTAGGGAAAGTGGAAAAGGATCAAAGCATACCATGTGCATGTTTGCAAAGGTCAGAGTGAAACCTGTTAATTTATAAAATTAATACACATTAATACTAATAATAAGCACAAGAGGTTGGATTGCTTGAGTTTGTGCCCCCTTCCATGACAATTTTCTCTGGGCAGATTGATGGACTTGTCCCAGCTACTTTCCCCAAAGCTGGGTGGGCCTAGCTCAAGGAGTGCTTGCACGAGAATCTGAGTTTGAGGGAAAGAAATTTTAATGGAAAACATGAGATAAAAAAAAAAAACCTCCCAAAACTAAAAAAACAGCAACATGGGTATCAGATACTTGGCTGATTAATTGTAGTACATTTTAACGGAGAACCTCCTATGCAGCCAGTATGTACTTATTGGATCTGTTACTCATTTCTTAATTATGAACAATCAGTTCTTTAGCTGCAAAGGTCCGTGAGACAGTGGGAACAACAGTTGCAGAAGCATGAAGGGCAAAGTGCAAACGAAAACCCCTATGACCAACATAGCCCTGCTACCTAGCTTCTAATATTGTCAACATTAGTTGGAGAGAGAATCTTTTCCTTAGTTGGGGAGAGAATCTCTTCACCTTTTTATTTTGGTCACAACCACTTTTTATTTGTGTGCTTATCATTCTTCTCTGGCTACGAAGATATATCTCCTGTATCCCTGGCTCAGAAGGTCTTTTCTTTCAGCCATTTCAATTGTCCACCGCATCTCCCATTGCCCGGAGAAATTGATCATAGCAATTAATCTCCATCTGGTCACTGGCATGGCAGGGTCGGCTTTTTCTTTGCCGAGTTCAGATATCATTGCAGACATGGCTACCTGTCTTCTGTACCAAGGTGCACTGCTTCGTTACTGAGACTTTCCTGTCTGTTCAGCTGCAAGTGTCAGGCCAGTAGCCCAGGTTCTCAGAATTTTGCCACTATTATCTTTCCAGAGCAGTTTCAGTGCAGACCAGCTAGGACACAAGAGATGGAGGAGATGAAGAGTTTAGAGACTTCTCATTTGTAAAGCCATATTAAAATTACAGCTGCTGAGAGGCGCTTAAGAACATCAACAATAAAAGCCGGATGAAAATATCCTGTGAGAAAAACAAAGAGAGAGCCACGGTGGAAAGAAGTGCAAGGAAGGAAAGGGCAAGGAGGAATAGAGAATTTCTGCTAAATTCTCAAGTTTCAGAGGTGTGGCAAGGAACGAGCCTTCATTTGAGTGTGGAAGAAACTGTGTAACTTTTGTTTTCGACTTATTTATCTTTCGGTGTGTGCTGGTATTAACGTGGACATCCCTTGCACGTAGAATAGCTCGGGGAACATGTTGCAAAGATTAGGATTCTTTTTGGCTGAATTTGCACACAAACAAGTCCAAGCTACTACTAGTTTTCTTTTCTGTGGGTTCCCAGGGCCAGACCTACCTTTGGAGATTTCTCCTCGTAACAGTCATTAAAGGCCCTGGTTTCATACATTCATTAAAAGTGTTTATGCCAGTTTGGTCTTGAAAATCTGCCCCAGTGGCATTATGCCAGAAGTGGATTCTTCTTGCTGCGAAGGAGAGGGCTATGTGTCTGAGCCCCAGCGACCCTGTTCCTTCCCAAGAACCTATGGCCTCACTGAGCTCTAGTGAAACCTTGACCAGCCTTTGCCCAGGTGGGAGAGGAATGTGTCTCTAGCCTGCCTTCCAGATGGGGGAGGTGGAAACAGTGCAGAAACACAGATTTCACTGGGCTGTTTGGAAAGAGCACGTAGATGCAAAACAGCACTGCATTTCCCAGCTCCCTGTGTTTTAGGCCCTCAAACCCTGTACAGCCCAGAGTCTTGTAATCCTCTGCTCACAGCCTTGAAGGAGTTGGTGTTAATGTTTTAATCACATCCACAGGCACAATAAAAGGGACCTCTGGCCAGAACAGATCTTATTTCTTTCTCAGACTTGATAACTATTTTATAAAATGAGCCCAGTGATGTTGTAAGCATTAATTGTGAGACCTTAAAATTCCTGAATAGCATCCATCTTAAAAAATATTTACACTAAATATTTGGCTCAGTATGGCACCATTGTGTGTGTATGTATAGAGCTCAACAGTTTTCTCTCTAAGCCTAAACATCTCCAAAGCGTAAGGGAAGATTTATTGGGCCCATTGGAAGGCTGTGAAATCTTCTCACTTTATGGCTGAAAAGCAGGAGGGCAGATTCCCTTGCTCCCGCCCCAGCCTGGCAGTAGGAAAAGAAAAACTAGAACTCCTGCATTCTGGGTTCTGTTTTTAGAGCCCCTCCCTCTGTCCACTTGTTCTTGAATCAAGAACTTGTGTCGATCCTGAAGGACCGAGGACTCCTCTACTCCAGGACTTTAAGAAAAGTTTCTGCTTATTTTCTTTTGTTAACCCAGAGAGGGATCCAGGGGTCAGGTAGGGGAAGTGTGGAGAACCCTGCCCTCCAATATTCCTTGGTTCCAGGTGGTGGTTTTTAAAAAATGCAACCAGTAGAAGGTCTCAGAGGGGAGAGGTACCCTGAGGGGAGAAGTCCCAGGAGGCAGATTGTGGTGCGGAGAAGGTGTGAGTGGCACAGCCTTACCTGCAGACCGTCACCCCTCCCCGAGGGCAGGGCTGCTGGGACTCCCAGGGCTCTTCCCTGGTGCTGGGAGTGGCATCTGGTGGAGTATATCATCCAGTGACTGACGGGAGAGGGGGAGGTGAGGAAATGCTTGAGAAACTGATGCAATCTTTGTCACATCATCAGTTTTTAATGAAACAGTCTAAACTTGGTTATTTTCACAAGGATAGAATTCAGTTCCCAGGAAATTGTGGAGAAGCAGCATCAAATCACTCTGTGTGTGTGTGTGTGTGTGTGTGTGTGTGTGTGTGTGTGTGTGGTGTTTCTCCCTCATGTACTTTAGAAAATATTTTCTTCTTTTTGAATGTTTTTTCCTAAAAATCAAAGTAATATAGTCTTATTGTAGAAGATTCTAAAAATACAGAAATGTGACCTGAAGCAACAAAATTTACCTATAATTTTACCACCTAAATGTATCAACATGTTGTTCAATTGCCACCAGTCCATTCTCTATCCTTTACACAATTTCATTTCCAAGAGGGCAGGGATCTGATCTTGTTACCTGCTGTGACCCAGTTCTGAACAGGACCCAGCGAAGGCTGACGTGCAGCACTCTTGGTGGATGAATAAATTAGTAGAGAAGCACACTTTGAACTGAAACAGGTTGTTGGGATATAGCAGCGGACAGACACAGAAGTGCTGCTTGGGGTCGCCAGCTGCTGTGCTAGCCTACTGTGCCTCCTTGGAGAAGGCACTTGAGCTCCCTCGGGCCCAAGTTTCTTCAGTGAAACTGTGCATTTGTTGTAAGCTCCAGGTGGGAATTTCTCACCATAACTCCTTGAGAGAGCAGCCTACTATTTCCCTTGTACAAGGAAACAGACACAAAGAGGGCAGGTGATTCACCCAGTCACTCAGCTGGTGAGTGAGGTTAAGTGACCGCTCAACCCCGGCGTGGTGGGCTCTGAATCTCCAGTGGAATGCTAGGCTGTGGGACCAGATGCCTTCGAAGGTGCCTCCCAGCTCCAGGACAAGAGAGGAGTGGCATAGGGAGGTGGCTGTGGTGATCAAGACATTGCTGGGTTCAAGAAAGTCAATTGTGGAGCAAGGTCCAGATGATGATTACATGGAGGTCAGAGAGCAAAGTCCTTAACTAGGGGACTTCTTCCTGGAGGTGCAGATCCAGGGAGCACAGTTACAGACCAGGGACTGTCTTCCTTCTGGCGACAGTGCTGCCATTCAGAGGCAAGTCAGCCACCCACAGGGCAGAGCAGGATGGTCAAGCAGGGAAGTCAGAAGTAAATTCCCGACAATGAGCAGCAGCTGATGCACTGGACGGAGGAGGGAGAGCTGGACTCTTGTTCGATGATTAGCTTGACTTTAATTAACAGGAGACTGTCCTTTCTCACCTCTCCCTCCCCTGCTGGATCCTGTATTTTGCCTCCTGTCCATGGTGACCAAGTCTCCTCTCTGTGAGGAGGAATGGACTTCAGTAAACAGATCTATTTGTGTGACTCCTATTACTCATTTGCAGCGAAGTCACTCCTTTTTCCACTGTGGTCTGTGCATCTGAGTCAGAGGGAGCCTACGACAAGACCGGCTTCTCTGAATTGATGGCTCACTCCCAGCCACTTTTGACTGACTGCCAACCTAGCAGGGCGTAGCTTACCAACAAATCTTTTTTTTTTTTTTTTTAGCCAGACTGATTCATAGAAACTCCTTTAAAACTCAGGGAAAAGAAACCGCCCATCACACACCCCGACTCACCAGTGGAGGAAACTTATAACCTCGGGAGGCAGTTCCCTCCCCTCACTGTGGTCACATACCTCCAGAAGAGCGGACCGGGCAGCTGCCAGCTCGAGCCACTTGCGGTGTCTGCCTCCGTCCTCGCTGGACATCCAGGTAGGATGGTTCCCACCACAGAAGCTGCGAATAGCCTCTCCCTCCTCCTTCTTCTGAATTCATTCTGACCTTGGTTTTACTTTGGCACTTTTCTGTGCTTCTCTAAAGTCCTTGAAACTTTGGCTTGAAAGTGGATGCTGAGCCCATTTATTTCCCCTGAAAGTTCACAGAAATTAATTTGGAGGAGAGGGGAAATCATCAAGACTGGGCTATAATTATTTCTTGTAGCAACTGAGTTCTCACCTTGGAGGTGTGGCAGGAACAGGGACTTTGGAATAAACCGGGTGGGGATATCCTTTGTGGAGGGAACCCTGAATACCTGGGAAATGACATATTGAACCGGCCAGATGTTGTTTTTAACTCATTTTAATTCAAATTGCTCTAGGATTTGAGTCCCTTTTTGCTTGTGGGTTGTTTGCTGGTGTTTAGGGAGGTGATGATGGATATATAGGTTATTTTTGTCCTTTACTTTTATTGCTTGTACATTCACTTCTGTTTCTATTTGAGTTTTCTTATCCTCCTCCTCCTCCTTACAAGATGGGAAAAGGGATTGGTTTGTTTAATGAAAACCGTTAGGGGAAAGAGAGAGGAGAGAGGCAAATGGTGTTTCAAATAAAATCTGGGAGGGGTTCGTTTGATGGAATCTGGAGCCCCATGTGGATTCCAACTTCCTCTCCTTGGCCAGATGTGGAAGTGAGAGAGAACAGGGGAACTGGGCTTGGAGGAGAGGGTGGGGCACAGGGACTTCATGGGGTCCTGTGGAAACCTATTGAATGGCCCAGTACATTCACCCCTGAAACAACTGCACCGCAGTGCTGAGTAGAAAAACAGTTGATCTAAGAAATGATAAAAGAATTCTCTAAGTGGATGTAGAATTTTCCTGCAGTGATTATTTTTTGGGATGTTTTTCTTTTCACTCTTTCCCAGGACGTTGTTGTATGAAAATGCACATAGTAAGCATAAAGTGAACCAAGGGAAATGGGGAAAAGTACCTTTTTCGGTTGTTTTTGTTTGATGAATTTAGCATTTCAGTCGAGTGTCTCTGGAGGTGTGGCCCATTGCAACACTCATACTGGTGTATTTTTTTCCTCCACACAAACAAGACAGGAGAATGGCATGATTCAGCTTGTCTGGTGAAGTTAGGCTTTTCTTTCAGAAATGCAGCTTGCTCATTGGGAGAGAAGATTTAGATGTAATCAGTCTGTGCATAGAACAGGCAAAACTTCTTGTAAAACTGGCCCTGAGGGGGTGACTAAGTAAGTACAGGGCAACTTTTCAAGAATCATGGGATTCCTACATGGGCTTCAAATGTTTATTATTTCCAGATTGCATGGATATCAGTTAGGAAAGCCATTATTGAGTGCATAGTGATGGTATCCCAGAAGGTAATACAAATTTCCTTTTAGTTATGTGCGGGATAAAACTAATAAGCAAGCTATAACCAGTGAGCAGATGGAAAGCAGAGACAATCCTGAGAGTGTAACCATCAGGAATCGCATTATTTGTGGAGCGGATCACATTACACTATAGCTTTATAAATGAGAAAATATGCAGTGTGTTTTTTCCCCTGGAGTTCAAGGGCAATTAAAAAAAAAATTCTGATCTGATTTCTGCTCTCTGCTTTTCCTCTAAGCACTGCGAGAATTTCCCAGCTGGGAGAGTTTTTCTGGACTTCAGCTGTAAGTCTTCAACAACCACACTGAGATAGGGTTGTTTTTCCCCCGTGGCCTCCCACCCTCAGAGGTGATCCAGGTCCACCCAGATGCTGAAGAATGGGGTGGGGGCGGAGTGCTGTCCAAGGCTGCTGAACATCCGGTCTGGCGCCTTTTCCTAGGGTCCCCAGCTCTTACATTGTTTGGGGGTACTAAGCTGGCTTGGGAGTTGGCAGATGGCCATGAGGGACCAGCAGAGAGCAGATCACATCCTCAGAAACTGGCTCCCTCCCTGAGCACCAGGTGGTCCTCTGAGCAGAGGAAGGACATTCCCTCTACAGACCCAGAAAGGGCTCAGTGTGGTTTTCTCAGCTCTCTCTGCTTCACTCTGGGGATCAGATTAAGCCTGTCCAGTTCCCAGCATTGAGAATGGGCTTCATAGCGACCACTTGGGGAGTTCTGGGTGGCCCTAGGGGGTTCAGATTAGTGCCCAACTGGCAAGGAGGACTGAAGAGAGAGCACAACCAGAGACCTAGGGAGGCTTAAAGAGGATGTATAGCTGCCTTTTCAGTAGATTTTGCACACACTGATAGAGTTTCTTTATACCAAAAGAGTGGCTACAGAAAAGGGCACAAAGCGAATTAGTTTTATTATGTCTTTGACTTCATTCATAGAAGTCTAAATTTGGGAGGAATCTTGGAGATCAGCGCGTTCATTCTCCTACCATATGTAGAAATCCAATATTTACACTATCTAGGACAGATGGTCATATTACAGTTCCTTGAAATTTCCCCACAGGGGATTCTCTGATATCTGAGGGCACATCCACACTCATCCTCCCTTGCTGGACAGCTCTAATCATCAGAGCCTCCTAAGTTGAGTAAAATCATTTCCTCTGTAAGTTCTGTAGGGCTGAAATGACACAGAAAATATCTATTTCGGTTTTGTTGTTGCTCTACCTAATGTTCCTTAACTTCTAGCCGTTTAATTCTTCTTTAAAATTAAATTAATACAGCTTGAAGAGCTACAGTACCTCCTCTCTCTTCCTTCCTTCCACCTGAGCCTCAAAAAGAACATTCTGGAAATTTTGAAAGTATGTAGCTAGTCAATCATATCTATATAATTTGATTCTGAGCTATTTAATTTTCTAAACACACAAATATGGTACCTTCTGTAATTTACCACATGTCTTTGCCTAGCTGCCTACCAGAAAAGCTCAGAGACATTTGGGACTCTCATCTGTACATAACAGGCACACCCAGTGTTACTACCTACCAGGTCATGGTTAAATCAATCCAACCAGAAACACAAGCTCCTAATTTGACCTTTGTGGATTGTCCCATAATTTGGTCCATAGTGCATGTGGTCTACACCTATGTGTTTACCACGTATCATGGTAACTACAGGAGCAGGCTGCCAATCAAAAGTAGCTTCTGTTTAATTGCTGGCAATCTGAGCATTGGTTGCTTGAGAAGGGCTTATATCCTTTACTGTCTTAGAACTGGAATTTTCTGATAATAGCTTCTAGAGAATCTTCTTGGTTCTGCCCAGCTGACTCTGAATTTCTGGGTTGTCCTTGCTGTTCAGTAATGGAGGAAGTCCACATATGGATCCAGTTATGAGTTTACTTACGTTTCTAGCACCTCACTCCTCAAAAGCACATCCCCAAGATGACTGACTATAACACATCAGTCCCTGGTGCCCTAACTGGTAAAACTGTTTCCCTCAATTTAACTAGAAGATTTCATGGAAACTGAAGAATGAAGACAAAAATGCAAACAGTTGTGGCTGTTGCTGCTTCTCTCTCTGCCTTTTAAACAAAACATTGAGGCCAACATTTCTCTGCTTTGGGTGCTCTTGGCCTGATGCAGCTGTGGCTGTTTTCATATTTCTTAAAGCAGTTTCACAAATTCATTCTTGAAACAACAGCCTTAAAATAGAGAACACTTTTTGGCCCAGGTTGAAACTGACAAGAATTTAGGGGTAGGTATAAGATGGCTGCTGAGGAAGATAGGAAGGGGTGTGGTCTTGTCCTGACTCCATTGTGTGACCATGGACAGGTCACTCCTTGCTTGAGGAAACTGAACTTGGTGGTCACCAAGAGCTCTTGCAGCATTGAAATTCTAAGATCCCACTATTCCTGTGTTGAGAAATCCTCCAAGTTCATGCTCATCACCAGTTTAATCTATTAAAGTTGGAAGGAAAGGAGGCAGTGTGTTGCATTCAAGTGGATATTTTACAGAGGAGTCTTGACTCCTAGCTGCTGAGAAGATCAGGAAAGTCTCCTCTGATCATCACCCCAGAGAGTCTCTAGGTGGGAATTTAGACCACATGAATGTCTCTTGGAACCTGGAAGGGAAGGTAGAGGTCTGATAAATGAAATACAAAGTGCCAGCTTGTCAGAGAGCATGCTTTCTCAGCCTGTTTAGACATCGACAACAGCAAGGATTTGATCAGGAACAAAATGGGCTCAGAGAGAAACTGAGCAGGTCCTGGGAAAGACACTCCACCCTATTCTCAGCGAGAGGGTGTGACCACTCAGGTGTGGACTGGGGCTGAAGAAGAACAAACCCAGAGGAGGGAAGGAGGGAGAGTGAGTAAGAGCTCGTGTGTTGGAGAAGAGGCAGACAGAGTGGCCTAGAAGGGAGAGAAAGCCAAGTGGACAGAGAGAGGCAAAGAAGTCAGAGAGCAAGGTGATGTGGGTGGTGAGGATGTTTCTGCTTCTAACTCCTTCACCTCTTGTCTGGGCGCACCCAGCTTGAAAGTTACTGGGGACTACTGAGGTCAAAATTCTGTTCCTTGTCTCCTATGAAGCATATTTTGTTGCTCAGGCAATATCTGATTTTGGGGAGTGTGGTGAATACGTGCTTGGTGCCACTTGAATTTCTGGTAAATGTTTGTACAACAAGGCACGGTTTGTAGTCTCATCAGAAGGTTGCCTCAGAGCAGATTGTTTCATATAATTCAAGTGCTTTCCTCAAGGAGCTGGATTGTTGGAGAGAGGTTTGCTGCCCAGAAACAGTGACTTTGGGGCAAGTGATGTGTTCACATAGCAGAGAGAGAGAGAGAGAGAGAGAGAGAGAGAGAGAGAGAGAGAGAGAGAGAGAGCGCACTGAAGCTTAGACCCAGAGCTTTCAGTCTCTGAAATATGCTCTCCAAGCTTGGATGGGGAGGAGATAACAGTGCTGAGGGTGGGGCCTGGGTTTGGCTATTGGAAGCCAGTCCTGGATTTACAGGGAGGGGTATGACAGGACTGGTTTTTCGGGGTGGACCTTCTCAGCAATATGGCAAAGTAGCAACGGCCTTGAAAGACCTCTTCCTTATACCATTGGCACTGTTTTGAGGGGC